TAGAAACAAGAAAAAAAAAGTAAAAAAAAAAAAAAAAAAAAAAAAAAAAAAAAAAAAAAGGGAAAGAACAACAGCTGAAGAAAATCTCTCCCCAAAAAAATCCCCCTGTTTAAGTTCGGATTGTTAAGTAAATAATTGCAATGACGATCTTAAAAATAACCAAGCACTGAATCAAACAATCCACAACAATCTCTCTTGATATTTTTCGCATTTCATTTGTAGTATGTTAATCTTGATTAATCATTGATGTTGTAGTATTACATATTGAACTTTGCTATTAATGGCTATATCCTTTTCAATGGTAAATCGATTTATCAAACTTTGTAATTTAATTGATGGTTAACCAGTTTATACTTGTAATACTCAGAAGGAGGAGCACCCCACCTCTATGTGCATTTGTGAAGTTTGGACTCTTAAGTACTGATGCCTCCAAATGGATGCTAAAGATGCTTACCTTATATCTGAGCGGCAGTGCTGCTAAACAAAGTTACTGGGTTTATAAAAGGAACTAAAAAGAAAGAAAACACTTTGTTCAAGATCAACACTGGCTAAAGAGGTAAGAGGTCCCAAAAGATAGAAAAGACAAACCATTTTCTAGATGTCAGAACACATTCAAAATTAAATGAAGCTTCCAAGTGCATGAAATTACATAGAATTAATCCAATATAAACCCCAAAACATTAACATCAAACAAGTTCTCAAGCATTTAGTCTGCAGGAGCGGTTTTATCCCAGGCCCAACTTCATATTCCACAACATTCAGCAAGGAACTATTCCATTTGGCAGGTGCCAGACAAAAACTCTAATTTGGACCCAATGTTATACTGTTTTACCACTCTGGAAAACAACAAGAAACTAATCACTATGCATGCCATCAGTTTAGATACAGAGAAGCTTGTATTTTATTAGGAAGAAACCCAAAACTCTGTGTAGCCAACAGTTGACAAACTACCGTTTTGGTAAGTCAACCCTCAAAAGGAAAAAGGGCATGCAGGTAAATAAGTCTGATCCATAGTTCAGCCCTATTGTGCAACTTTTTACAACTCAATATAGCTCGCTTCCAGCATGGCATTTTGCTTCAGGAGGAAGTGTTATTACCATTTTGAGCAGCTTATTTCACACTTAGCCAAGAAATGTAAAGATTATAACTTCCACCATAACCACCGATTTTCAGGGCCACACAAAGGAATGGGAAGGGGGGTAAGACAGATGTGTGAACATACACTTTATTGTGTTTTGACACAAATGTCAGTGAAACTTCAAAATGTATAGCATCTCTACTGAAGTAGGTCTCTAGATTTTCGAAGTCCAAAAGTCCACCCTTCAACTACCTAAACATTTTCAGCATCTGCAGCATACTAAGTTTCAAGAGAAAGATAAGAACAACTAGATCTATGCAAGTGGACATTAAGTAAAAACTAAAAAGCTTTTGAAACTAAAAGGTTTATTTTGAAATGAAATAGAATCCATCTGCTGTGGAAAATGACATAAAGCTAGTGTAAGTTATTAGCAGGGACATGACTTTTTGTGATAATATTGGACATACTTGAGGAAGTGGAGTATAAGCAGTTTTTCCAACCACATGGCCTTCGCGAAACCATTGATGGAGTGAGGATAATTTAAGTGTGAAATCATAACCAACCAATAGTACTAGGGAAGGTGAAATAAGTAAAAAAGTCATCCACTTTCCCTTTAGGTCATTGAAGTTTTATCTTAATGTCCAACATTCAGTAGTTTTTTAACTTCAATTGCACTTCTCTTCTCCTGCTTTTGCCATCATAACACGTCATTTCCAGGTAAATCTTTTTGTAGTTTTGTACTCCACCATATGAACTGAGGTAAATCCCTCTAACTAAGGTAGCAGCTCAGAAAGATAAACAGATATGATTGCATCACACAAATCAATAGGAAGAAAGATGAAAACCACAATCATTACTTTGGGACCAAGTACAAGAAAAATGAATGCAACTATGTTTTCACATAAGCATAATTGAAAACACTGGAGTTAACAAGAACAACTCTGCCTTAGTCTCAAACAAGTTGGGGTCAGCTATATGAATCCTCGCTGATCCTGCTTTCCATTCATCTTTGATCAACATTATACATAACACTGAAGTTAACAAAGTATCATAAATATCTAAGCTTGCCATCATTTCATGTGACAAAAAATAATACAATTCTTGAAGAAAAATGTAGAATGAAGGTAGAACGAATTAAGATATAACTAGTAAATATGAACAAGACAAAGCATTTATTCTTGTCTGAATCTCCTTAACAGCGGATTGAACTCATACGAGAGGAACATAGGGGTAACAAACAGCATTCAGAATTAAAAAAAAAAAAACATTAAGAGTACAAAAGCAACACATTGACCTAATTACAATATTAGGTCACAACACAACTTTGAAATGTCTTGTCTCCATCAAGGGAGCCTGAGAATAAGGGAAAGAAGATAAGTTCCAGGAGAGACAATTATACTTTCTGGTACCCAAAATTCTTTACGCAGTACCAAAACCAGAAATATCTCTTGATTGCATTTAGACTGCCCAGCGCATCAATAAAGCGCTCATCTGTGTTAAGCACAACATCAATCAGCTCATTAACAATTTATCTAGTTATCAATAAATAAAGACATAGAAAAAGATTAGAAAAAATTCAGATCCCTTGACTGATTTTACTGGAACAATCAATTGCAATCCACCAACCCAGCAAGCCCAAGTGAACGCACATTGAAGAGAATAAGTGTCTAGCCAACTCATACTCAAAAATATACTAAAAACCCATTTCAAGAAAAAGCAGAATTTTCACCTTAGAATCCATTATTTGTTTGAGACGCAGCAGCATACCAAGCGCCTCCTCTTTTGCCACTTTGAGCTCCTGCTTATACCTAACAGCTTTCTGTTCCGACGACATAATCCTCGCCGCCGCCTCCTTCGCCGTGTTCAATATTATATCGGCATACGCCCTCTTCAAAGCCGTCAGTCTCTGCGACAAAATAAATCAAAATTCAAAAAAAATATAAAAAACAAATAATCAAGCACACACCAACAGAGTATCAGAATGAAACTAAAATCACATCTGCAACTAGAAAAGTAAACCTAAAAGATGATCAGTATCGATCCCCATTTTTTGTAAAAGTTGTCAAATAAAAACGAAAAATTAAAATTTAAAAACGGTTAAAGAAATCAGGTTAGGTAGTTGGAAAGTTCAAGTAGTGGTTGAAGCGGTTGCGCCGCCGTTGAATAAGTTAAGAATCCGACCGGATTATCGGAATGGGGCGGTGGGGGTTTACCTCGTCGGCGTCCATTGCGGTTTTCGTTAAAGCATTCAACTTGAGTTGTGTGTTTTAAGGTTTTCGGACCGAAGTAAAAGAGAAAGAGGGGAAGGTGGTTTTTTTTCCTCAGCAGCTGTCTGTTATGAACTGAAAGTTCTGTTGTGTGGTTGAGTCAAAGTATTATTATACCCCTGAGAAACGGGTTGAACTACGAGATTGCCATGTTATATAACAAGCAGCGACTAGATAGATGGGGCGGTTTTTGTGTTTGGGTTTTGCATTAGTTATGTGCGCGCGCCTGAAAGGTGGTCCCCACAACCCAATGGTTATCGATGACGTGGCACTATTCACTTCTTCATTCGTGGCTAGAGACACGGGGTTGAACTTTGGAGGGAAAAATAGAAGATCTCATCAAATATATACTTCCTAATATTTTGCAACAATTCGATTTTATAGCAGAATTAAAAATAAAATATGTGCTATTTTTGAATGCTTTAATAATTTTCCCCTATTTATAATACGTAATAATCTTTTTCGTGACCGATGTCAAACAACTTCATTTTCATAAACTGATTTTAGTTTTCAGTTGTGAAAAAGAGTCAAGAACTACTCTGCAAGATTGTGACTTGTTTGCAATTTCAGTGAATAGGTCCTTTCAACAATTAACTGACATTTTGTACTTAAAGAAATTGATAACACAAACTGACAAACATATTGTCTGTTGACAATTGGTTGGTTCGAGCATTAATAACACGGCTTGGATAAATGTATTGACCTGCTATTGGAACTTGTTGAACTTTCTCCATAAATCTCGCCAAACCCAAAAAGAGGTTATAGTCCTCGGTGAAATGAGGATAGACTGTGAAATTTGAGTCAATAAAGTGATGATTTTAAGCAACTTATATGAGCAGAACTAAATAAAAATGTAATTAACTTAAAGGAGAGTACTCACGAAGAATTTTGCTTTTCCAAAAATAAAATGACGGCACCTGCAATTTTAAATATTGTCATGTACTTCTTTCGGTCACTTTTACTTGGCATGTATACGATATCAAAACAAGACAACAAATTTTTTCTTATTTTACCCATAGTATTTATTACTTATTTTAAATTATTTTTTCAAATTCAATAAACTGTGTGATCACGCCCAACTATGCCTTATAAAAAGGACTAAGCGGTCGCTGCAAATATAATCCGGTTTACAAGTCCGGAGTCGAATCCCACAGAGAACTAAGGTTTAGCTACAGCTGTTCACTATCACCAAGAAGACAAGCTTGAACAATTCTTAACTTATAGATATTAAGATTCTTGTGTTTAACCACTTAACTAACAAATTAAAATAGTAAATTAACAACTAACGATACTGAGGGTTAGAGAAAAGATTAAGGAGGTCTAGAGTTATGATTTCCCCTATTGTCGGAATCCTTCCCGCTATGTCTTCTATAATTTCGCCTAGGTATTCTCTACCGATCATGAGCACTCTTATTACCGTAAATCTCTCCCGAGTAATTACGACAATTTACTAGACGCACTCTCCCGAGCTACGCTAACTGGCTTTTAATACAGCTCACTTCAAATCGCACCCAAGGCTTCGTTATCCCTAATCTCGCCTTTAAACCCTCGGTTATTGATCCCTCATATACTTTGGGAGTGGTGTTGTTCAACAATTACCTAAATATGCACTCTCTCCCGAGTTATGCATACTAAATAGGCACAGCTAATTGAGAGCTCTTCAACCAACCACAATATAAATGTAGTTGAACAAATAGAGAAAATCTATGGCTCAATTATATAAAAACGTAACAAGAATTTATCCTACAAAAGGTTCTATCAAAACTCTAGATAACAAATTAGCTATTCATAATAGTATGTAAAACTACAATACTAAAAGTCATAACCAACAATGAAAAATAGGAAGAGGAAAGAAAAAACTCGTAGAAGAATTCTCCGCCTTGCTCCCAATGTGTTCTTGCCTCCTTAGGTCGAATCTATATCTCAAAATATGTCCCCTCTCCTTTCTCAAAATATGTCCCAATGTGTTCTTGCCTCCTGCCGCGGTTTTGCCGCGGTCGCGGTGGAACCGCGGCCAAACATGCCCTCTGATTCTTCAGTTGTCCGCGACCATCTTCTACCGCGGTTCTGCCGCGGTCGCGGTGGAAGCGCGGTTTTTCACACTGTTCTGTTTGAAATTTGGAAAAACGTAAAACATGAAAGTTGTAGCCCTTTGAGTTAGCTTTCCAACCATATATTGTGGAGCCCAAATGGAGTTATGAGCAAAAAGTTATGTCTATTTTACTAGACAGTGCGCAATATGCCTCCTCAAGTCTTCGTTCGTACTTAATTATCAAATTTGACCCCCGAACATGATCCCGGCTTAATTCCTTGAGCTTTTACTCAGACTTCAAAGCTTCAAATCACTTAAATTCATTCCATAATATCTATATAGCTCGGAATCACACCTACAAGGCATAAAACACACAATTAGTGCAAAACACTAGCGATTAAAGCGCAAACTCAATTAAAGTGCAGTAAATTCGAGTGTAATAAGCGACTAAAATATGCAATTATAGCCTATCATCAACACCCCACACTTAAACCATTGCTCGTCCTCGAGCAATCAAACTACACTTTTTTTTTATAGACACGACCTTTTTAAACAATTCTCCTAACTCATCACACCAAGAGTATATAAAATAAACTAAGCACAAAAGCGTAACATCTTCACCTCAAGATTTGACTCACAAGTACCACACATTATTCACAACTCACCCACTTACTCTAATATAGAGGTCACTGACATTACCTTTCCTTCATGAAACAAGTGCCCTCACACAACAAAAGAGAGTAGTTCCACACAATAAAATTTACGAACACTTAGGAATTCAAGATAGAAAGAATTCACTCACTCTCAGAAATAACATTCATATGCCACAAAAGATACACCATAAGCTTGCCCGTAGTGTACTACTCCACTAATCGAGCTCATTCAATCTTGAATCAATTAGGACTTTATTTGGTTGTAATGTAGGCTACGGGACGGGTAGGATACATTTAGATATAAGAGTGACTACACCTCCCTAAGCACTTTAATACATACATTTTAACATTTAAACCCATACTTATGTCAAATCAAAACTCCACCTTCACATTAATTTATATTACCCCATACTTCTTTAAGCACACTTACGTCAAGAGCCACCACTTATCAAGAATTTTTTTTTTTCAACAATCCAACTATATTTTTTTTTTCAATTCAAGTGGCTCTTCCTTTTTCAAAACAGTGCACCTTTCTCCTTATTTCATTAGTTCCACTCAAAAGCCAAACCAACCACCCCACACTTTAACTTTTACAAAGTTCATAAATAATTCAAGTGCTCATGAGAGGTTACAATGGTTCAAATAGATGGTTAATTCCAACAAATGGGTAAGGCTTGTAATGTGGTTGCCAAGAAACAGGATTATAGGCTCAAGGAGGTTAACTAAGATACATAACAATTAGGTGGGTAAAATATACATATCTGGCTCAACCAGAAAACGCCTATATCACTTCCAAGACTGAACAACACTACTATTTCGCTTTGCAAATACACGGGGCAAGTTCTAGGCATCAAATGCAATGCACAGAATAACACAAAACCTTACACACACATGGCACATAACTCACTCAGGATTGGATTCATCAAGACACTCTAGTCAAAGCAGTTAAGCAAAGTTAAAATCATACAATTTAAGGTACTTCTACAAGAGTCAAAACCGAGCCTAAGCGTCACAACCAAAGTACTCATTGTTCTCAAGGTAAAACCAAGTCAAGAGATATTGCTTCAATTCAAAGCACAACACAATGGCTCTTATTCCTTAAAAAAAAACTAACTACACCCGGTTCAAATAAAACCCTTGGAAAAGAACCGTTGTTTTGAAGAAAAACCAAGGGGTAATTGCTACACTACCTAAAACAAAACAAAAAATCTTTTTGGTATTTTTTTTAGACTTACGTCCCTCAAGAAAACTGTCTAGAAGATCCGTCATCAGGAAAAGTCCAATCTTTTAAAAAAAAATTATTTAATTAAACGAACACAGCTAAAGTAGCATGAAAAGGCACCCAGACAATCTCCTCACCCCACACTTAAAATTGTGCATTGTCCCCAATGCACACCCATACATACAAGAGGGTAAAAGAAACTCCCTGGTAGGCCAAAGGCCGACGCACTAGCAGTTCATGAGGTACTCAGACTTCTCCCAAACTGGGTCCTTCGTGCGAGTACCTCACACTTAGTTCCAACCATTTGGTTTGCTGTTGCATCCTTCCAATACCTTTGCTTTCCATGCTCCTAGAAAATAAAAAATTGACACTACAAAAATAATACAATTAAAAAAATAAAAAAAATAAAAAAAAAAAGAAAGCAATAAAGCTGGGTTGCCTCCCAATAAGAGCTTGATTTAACGTCGTGGCACGACGTGAATCACTTTCTGCCTCCACTTTGAACTTATGAATCGGACCCCAAGTTTTGATTCTGCTCTATGATCATGCTCCTGGGGTGGTGGAACGAATCTGATTAGCCCAATAAAATAATGTAGTATTCTGCACTTCTTGGCTTTTATATGAGGTGTGTAATCCCGACTTTCTGGCAAGAAGAATTCCAGAATGTAAGCACTTTGTTCCTCATTCCTTGACTCCTCAAATGGCTCGGACGACTCTATTTCCGTATCATCATCTAAACACAATGTGAAAAAATGCTTGGAGTGAGGACCAAGCGCTCAACTACATGAACATTGGGACTATCTACATTCTCAACGCTAATGACAATAGAGTCAACTAAATATGTATCCTCAATATCCTTGGTTGACTCTAGTATCTCTTCTACAACATCGACATCCTCAAAATCTAGTGTGATTGATTGTTGGTGTTCTACTCTAGCCTCATCCTCTAGTTCATCAATTTCTGTATCTAATTCACGCTCTTCTTGGATACTATTCACAATATTGGCTTGTTGAGCATTAAAAACTTCAAGCAGTTGACTCATGTGAACTTTCAAGTTGTGAATAGTTTCCTCCTGCCTTTCTATCCGCAGTAGTAATTTACTATGTTGTTCCAAAATGCACTTTAACATATCTTCGATCTTCTTTAGGTCAGCTTCCCTGGGTTCTTTGTTCCTATTAACTTCACCAGAAAAAGAAGAACCATCAAAGTA